AAAAAATGTGCCATAACAGTTGACCTTAAATAGGAGCGTGAGTTATGGGTACCATGTTGAAACTGTGCAGAGTCTAAGCAAACTCTTTTTTCTGCCTAACCCCACATAAAATCCTTAACCAGGAAGGGAGGTAATGAATGTTATAAAAGAGTTGTTTGCTTAATGCCTTGTTTACTAAGTGAGCAATTATGGGTGCCTTAAATTTAATGAAATAAGAAAATGCAGAAATATGGTTGGGATTAGCTCTAAATTTTTATCTCTTATCTGCAAATTGTGGTTTTTGGCTATACTTTGTTATAATGGATTGTATCTCAACAAAAGAAGATGAAGGTCATATTAATTATTTTATCAAGTCTTGAATTAAGAAGTAGATATGCGAGGGAAAGGAAGAAAACTTTTTATCTCAGAGCCACCTGACTCATTTTATCAGGGTCTTGAAGAAATGAAGACATATATGGAAACTTGCGATGACAAATCAGAGAAAGGTGTCAGGGAAGAGATCATGGTGAATGAAAGAGTTTGAAGAAGGTGATGAAAAGGAAGAAAACCCTAAAAGCAATTGCATTCTTGGACTCTTGTTGATTAAAGATATTTGGAACTCAATAGGTTAATACATAGTTGGAAAAGAGGAAAGAGAAGGTGAAGCCGATAATGATTTTTGTATCATAAACTAGTTAAAAATGGTTTGTCTATTGGCTAGGATATGGGAAAAAAGGTACACTCATACGTTGCTGGTGGGACTGCAAATTGATGCAGCCAATATGGAAAGCAGTATGGAGATTCCTTAGAAATCTGGGAATGGAACCACCATTTGACCCAGCTATCCCTCACCTTGGACTATACCCAAAGGACTTAAAAACAGCACACTACAGGGACACAGCCACATCAATGTTTATAGCAGCACAATTCACAATAGCTAAACTGTGGAGCCAACCTGGATGCCCTTCAGTGAATGAATGGATAAAAAATTGTGGCATATATACACAATGGAATTTTACTCAGCAATAAAAGAGAATGAAATCATGGCATTTGCAGGTAAATGGATGGCGTTGGAGAAGATAATGCTAAGTGAAGTTAGCCAATCCCAAAAAAACAAATGCTTAATGTTTTCTCTGATATAAGGAGGCTGACTCATAGTGGGGTAGGGAGGGGGAGCATGGGAGGAATAGATGAATTCTAGATAAGGAAGAGGGGTGGGGGGAGGGAGGAGGCAGGAAATTAGCAAGGATGGTGGAATGTGATGGACATCATTATCCAAAGTACATTTTCAAAGACACGAATTGGGTGTCAACCTACTTTATATACAAATAGAGATATGAAAAAATTGTGGTATATATGTGTAATAAGAATTGTAATGCAAAAAAACCAACAAAGTACATGTATAAAGACATGAATTGGCATGAACACACTTTATATAGAAAGATATGAAAAATTGTGCTCTATATGTGTAATAAGACTTGTAATGCATTCCACTATTGTGTATTTAAAAAAATAAAATCAATTAAATAAAATTTAAAAAGCGTTTGTCAAAATAAAATTTGCATCAAAATTAAAGAAGGTATTTGAGATTATTAGAATAGGGAGAGACTGAACTCAAATTGGCAGAAACAAAAGGCAGGAACATTTTTAAGTTCCAGAGTGAGCTAATGGAAAAGTTCTGGAGAACATCACAGGGTAAGGTTTGATCAATGGGATATGTCAAGTACATTGAGTTATCCCTGAGTTTGCAAATACTTTTGGGTGATTAGGCCATCTGTGCTTGCAAATTGGAGCCCATGGAAGTTAGGCACCTCCCCTCCTACAGAGTCTGGAAAATCAGGACACTGTTCCCTTCAATGTTAACATTTCAAAGAGATGATTCTCAACCTTTCCTTGGGAAAGACAATTTCTGTGTACTATAAAACTAGCTGAAAGTTATGAGACAATTTATATCCATTTCAGTGAGGTAGAAATAATTTACAATTGCAAATGTTATCAAAGACATGCTCTAAGGTAAAGGAGGTCACAGCATAGTCACTAAGAAACCAGTCTAAGTTTAGTGGAACCAGGGGAATGTGAAGGACATCTTGATCAGATTCTAGTATACCAACAATTTGGAAAGATTTTTTTTGTTTGTTTGTTTGTTTTGTTTTTTGTTTGTTTTCAGAAAGCAATGTATATCCTGGGACTTCAGGTCCATTTTTTCCCCTTGTTATAGAGGGATTCCATGGCACTGAGGCAACCACGGCAGTCCACAGCACTCAGTCCTTGCAATTCTGAAGGAAAGATTTCAAACAAGTTGCACAGAGTTACAGCCAGGAGTTTATTGGAGAAGGTCAAAATAAGGACATACCACAAAGATACCAAGTGAACCATCTCTGGGGAGAACAACATAGCTCTTCAAGAGTCTGGGTTTTTAAGTTTTAGTCCCTTAATTCTTTAGGAATTTTCTCATATCCTCCTTTGTATTGATAAGTGGTTTATTGCCCTTTGTTTGTTTGTTTGTTTTTAATATAGCCTTCAGCAAATTTTCTTTGTGAAGGTCCATGATGATCTGGTCAGGAGAGGTAGTTTCCTTAAGAGGTTATTATTAATTATGGTTGAAGGAGGTTTGACATGCCAGTTTCTGTTTTCCTGATGTCTGTCTGCTTTGATAAAGTTTCCAAGTCCTGTGACTTACGGACTTGCTTTAATGTATATGTTTGTTGTCTTCTCCTATCTACCTTCGTGTGGCTGACTATCTACCCCAGCACACTTATCCATAAACGTTTACTGTAAAACTCCAAAGTGAAAATAAGTGGACCAAAGACATCATATATGAAGATACTGAATAAGACAAAATGCCTGGCAAGAGGGTTCTTGTATGCTAATGTGAGTAACAGTGTTTTAAACAGAGAAAATTTTAAAGTTTCAAAAGTGATATTCTACAGTATTGTAGGAGAGAGTAGAGCCCAACTCCAGCTGGGAAATTTAAGAAAGTCAAAGAAAATTCACAGAAAAATAAAACTTAGAACAAAAGGATGACTTAGCAAGAAGAGAGGAAAGAGTACATGCAAAATGATAGCATGAGAAGGCAGCCTGCCAGTTCATGGAAAAGCAAATAGCTTTCTGAGGATAGAATGTGGGAGAAACACGAGGCAAGGGCAGAAGCTTAGAATGCCCTGGTAAGGAACTTGGCCCACAGCTCATATGTGTGAAGAGACTATGATGTTCAGATTTGCATTTTAAAAACATACCCTTGAGGGTAGAATCAATGATGGGCTGGAGGAGAAATGTGGAACAACAGAGTGTTCAATGGTCTGAAAGACAACATGGATTCAAGATTAAACAAATCAGACTCATAACTTAGATATTACAGAGAGAATACACAAATCAAAAATGACTGGGAAATTTCCCATCGAAGATGAAGAATTAGCTTCTCTTCAAATGTGGAATGAAGAAACAGTTTTAAGCCTCAGTCCATGTGTCTGCTACTTTACTAAGCTGAGAGTGATTCTGGACCTACATACAGAGTTCAGATAAGATGGTTATATGAACATATTTCCAAGAAAGGTCCATGCAAATACAAGACTCCATTCTTTCCCCATCTTAATTTCTTTTTTAAACTTTTGTTGTTTAGTAAAGCAGTAAACATGTAAATAAAGACTCTATATCTATATAATTTTTAAGACAATTTCTAGATCATACAAAAGATACAATAACTCTCAGAGTTACTATAGAGTTATTGTCGAGTCTGGAAAGAGAAATCTAATTCTCAAATTACAATACTGAGGACTTTCTAAATAGCATGCATTTTATCTTGGCTCTGTGTCTGGTTTCTCTCTGCTATGAGTCTCCTTTCTGCTTACACCTGTTTCAGTTCCATTATATTGATGAGTATCGATTTTGTAGCAGAGATGCTTTGCACACAGTACTACAGTGATGGTTAAAATCCACCATAAAAACTATGCATTTCTATGATTAAAAATAAATCAAAATATCTCCAGAGGAATTTAGGGGATGCTGCTAAACAACACATCTGTGCCATGTGTTAAAATATGGTTAATTGTGTGATTAATGTATTACTTTTTCAATCTTAATCTTGAAACTAGAAAATCCTTTATAAACCATGGTTTAACTTTAATATTCATACAAAGTTTTCACACAGTTAATTCAATAAGCTTCATGTATATACTTTAACAAAAAAAGAAAAATTTATCCTCAGATCTCAATTCTCATTTTTTTTATTTCCATGGAAATCTTCATGAATTTTTAGCATAATTACTTTAAGCAGATGTTCAAGCCTCTTATTCTGATAATAGAAATGCAGTAGAAAAAAGTGATATTTTGGAAGGATTCATGAGTTTGGCAATGTTCATGAAAATAGACTAAACATGAAGAAATCTGAGGGTTGCTTTAAAGTTGTCAAAATAATTAATTTTATTAAAATAATGAATTATGAAAACATATTCTTAAAGTCACAATTATGAAGAGAATTAAATTGTTGGACATCATACCAACCTAAACATTTAAATCACATTTGATTTCATACAAATACATAAACCCAAGCATTTTCATTTTTATGTCTCAACTTCTTGCATCGTGTGTCACAAACAGTTTTAAGCAGATATGTCTCAGTTAAGCCTTCAAAGTAAAGTGTAAATTGTAAAATGTAGACAATGGTTTATTCGTTTAATTCTGCATCGTATATTTCATAGCAAATATATCTTTTTGCAGATTTAGTTAAACTGTCTAGAGCTTCCTGGGTAAAAAACCAAGCTATATAAATGCAAAGTAGTCTTTGAAATATTTATGTTGGTAAATGTATGCCAAAAAAGATAGTATATTTAATACACAAAGGTGTGTGCGAGGAGGAATCGAAATGTTTGTGATATCAGGATTAGATTCTAGCTAAGAAATTGTCTGCAGAGAGACTAAAAAGAAAAACAAGCTGTCCTGTCCTGTACCTGTACCAGTGGCAGAACTGAACCATCATAGTGTATTTAACAGTGATAGAATGTTGGGGATCATGTCTTTCCCAGGTGAAGAAGTGGACAGACAGCTTTGCAGAGATGCCATCTTCCCCATTCCTGTGGCCTGTGATGCCCCATGCCCAATGGACTGTGTGCTCAGCGCCTGGTCTACGTGGTCTTCCTGCTCACACACCTGCTCAGGAAAAACCACAGAAGGGAAACAGATACGAGCCCGGTCCATTCTGGCCTATGCAGGGGAAGAAGGTAAGTCTATCATCATCAGACAGGACTTAGTTTTGGAAATTTGCCTGCCTTTACTTTTTATAGCTGGCTAAGATGATAGTCTATGAAAATTAACTAACAGAAATCCAGTGATCCAAGGATATTTCTCATCTGCTAATGTGGTGGGCAGCTTGATTCTGTCCCCTCAAATTAATATTGAAAATGGATCTTTAATAAAGGAGGAAAGATGGTTCAAGTGAATTTATTTTGGTTTTTTTCCACTCACCTCATAATTCTGGTTCTTTCTATTCCTAAGATTTAAACCTGTGAAAAAGGTAAAAGTGACTTCCAAGTTCCAGTTGTTTCTGGGATTTTTCTCTATTTTAGTAGTAAGTTTTTCCCTTTGAAATTATATCCTACTCTTGAATGAAAGAATCATCTGTGTGCAATAAGAAATATTATTTTAAATCAACACCACCATGGCTACTGCTTGGCTGAGAATTACATGTACTTTCTACTATTCAGGCTTCTGAACATGGACTCTGAGATCAAAAGGTCTCATGTGTACTTTTGGTTCATTTTCAAAGTATCCTGCTTCTAAATCATTTCATCCTATTGGGTGAATAAAGCATGTTTGCTGCAGATTTACATCTCACTAGCAAGCTTTATTGCTGAGGAATACAAGGGTTTTGGTAATTGTCTCTCAAGATAATATCCAAATGTTAATTTGGCTTCAGTGTTTACTGGGTAATATAATGTCATACTTACTCCTGTCATTCTGGAAAATGACACAGGAATAAGGAACTAGAAGTAGATCAAGTTGTCTGACAGTAAGACATGTTCTTTCTCAAGAATATAGAGATGCTATTTAAATATTATCAAGTTAAATGACCCTTCTCTTTATCCACATTCAGCACTGACAAATAATGATTTCTATTTGTAGCAAGCATGTGTTTCTATGTATTTCTGAAAATGAATAATTTTGAAATAATTCTGTGGGATTTAGACCTTTTTTAATTTTTCCATTTATGGAGTACTTTAGTGAAACACCTGAATAGTATTGGTATTTAATCAAACTTGCTACCTGTGTATGTAACAACTATGCAAATATAACTCTGTTGGGCTTGCATATGAGTGTTTACATGAGTGAAAAATTTTCTTATTAAATAAAAGTCAGTCTATGGGAAAATTTAGAATTTCTTTGTAGGGTCCAAAAATATTTACCTGTTACTTAAATATAAACTTAACTGTTTGTGACAAAAAAAAGAATGCACTTATTAAAAATAGAAACTTTTGAAGAGAAAATTACATTCCTTGTGTTGTCAAATATTAACCCTAACCTCATATAGATTATATTCATACTTCAAAGTCTATCAGCTCAGATTATGCCTTGAGCTTCATTAAAATTAGATCTGTGGTCACCCTGTTTCCTATAAATCCATTATACTCTGCAGACACTTGCTGTGTGACTAGTAATGAGTGACTCTTCACCCTGAGTCACATGGCAAGGATTTTGCTATGCTTGCAAAAACTCACCAGATCATTATTTCTATAGACAAGCTTCACACTGAAAGGTCATGAAATGTTTTAAAGGCAGAAATTTATGATTGTGCTTTGATATGTATCATCCACTTAATTTGAAAGGGTGGGGCTTTGATAATTTTTAATTAAGTCTAGTAGCTGCATCATAATAAGCAAGTCATGCTGGGAAATTATAGATGGCTATGCAATAAATCATAGAGCATGAATTCAAAACATAATGCTTAATAGGAACTGCAGTGAAGACTGTAAATGGAAAATGTGCTGCCTTTTGTTAATAACATTTCTAAAAACTGATATAAACTGTTGAAATATTTCATGAAGAATTTATCTTTTAAAACATATTTACTTAATAACTATTACATGCTGAACACTGAATCACATTTTTCTCTTACTTAAAATAAACCTTTTATAATTCTGCATTATTTTTAAAATGATTTACAATTATATCTGTAAGAAGTTTTAAAATGTTTTCTGTTAGGTAATACTTCATAATTCTACAAAAGTTTAGTCTTTGTATTAAAGCTTTGTATGTGTCTTAAATTTTATTAAGTTTTATGTAAAAGCAAATTATTGTGATAATTTTTAAAAATATATCACAGTAGAAAAATTATATATGAAATGTTTAGATAAGAAATTATATGATTTTTTAGTGAAATAACCCATAGGACAAGTCCCTTTGCAAAGTATATCTGGATTTACAAAATAAATGCTACAAACTAGCCTTTTTTTATTTATCTCTGTCAGAACAGTATCATTAAACATTATACTGAAAATTAGATGATATCTTACAATTATTAAGGATAGATTGATTTGTGCTGCAGTAACAGATAGTACAGAAGTTTAGAACTTTAAAGAAGGAAGGTTTACTTATTTCTTCTTCAAGGGAATTTAGCTACAGTTCTGGATTAATTCTCCAGGGCAGTTTGTCCTTCAAAAGATGTCTCAGCATTATACTATCATATGACGTCCTATTTCCATAATTCCCAAAAGAAGAACGTGCTTGGAGAGTCTATTGATTTAAACACAGAAGAAACTAAATTTTTCCATCTAGAAATGATTTTCATCATTTCTCACTTTTTTTGGCTAAAATGAGTCATATAACTTAACTTCAAGGGGGTTATAGAGAATATAGTGCTAGTATGTGCTTGACAAAGAGGAATGCAGCTACTGGTCTTACCCATGATTTACTCAGTCTTCTTATTGTATATATGTATTTATATCTGTATCCATAGATATATAGTAAAATTCTATTCCATATGGTCCCAATTTAGTAGATAAAACAGGTCTCTTTCTTTCTCTTAAAAAAATTATAGAATAATTGAATGGCACTCCTTTTCACCTCATTTCCTTTCCTTCCATTTCTTTCTAGACCCTCTTCCTTCCTGGACAATTCTATCCAAAAGGCCATTAGGTGGAATCAAGCAGTTGGGCATCTGTGCCAGAAGGTGTGGGGTCAGCAGTGGTCCCAAGTGGGTTGTTAGAACCCAACCTGAGTGAGAAGAGCATCCAGAGAAGGAGGGGTGTCCTGGCATGGAATTTCAGAGTCACTGAATAGTGTAAAGGGCAGAAAGAATCACATAGGTTGTATGAGAAGGTGGAAGCAGAGGCCAGTACAGGATGTCAGAGCACAAGCAGAACAAAGATGGACTCTCAGTATCCATGAAGGCAGCCAGCCCAGTGTGGAGTGGCAGAACCAGGCTGGGTTGTGGAGGGTTTCTAGAATATGAAGTAGCCTGAGGCAGGGTGTCAGAAAAGGGCACAGTGACAAAGATACCCTGTTGGGGCAAATATGTTAAGAGAGAAAATTAAATTAAACCCTGAGGTATTGTTTGGGGATTGGAAGTTATCAATGTAATTTTATGGTGTTTATTTTAATTTACTGGGTGTTTTTAATTAGTCATGACAGTAGAAACCATTTTTATGTAGTTATACAAGCCTGGAATACATCTTACTCTAGTTAGGACTTCATTCTTGTGGATGTACATGGTGGTGGGCTTCACTGTGATGTTTTCATTTATGTACATAGGAAAATTATGTCATATTCATTCCACTGATTTTCCTTTCCTATCCCTTCTTCTTTCCCTCCATTCCCCATTGTCTAATCTACTGAACTTCTATCCCTGAATCCCTTATTGTGGGTTAGCTTACACATATCAGAGAGAACATGTGATCTTTGGCTTTGGGGGATTGGCATATTTCACTTAGCATGATAGTCTCAAGATCTATCCATTTACTGGCAAATGTCATGAAGTTATTCTTTATGGCTGTTGTATATATATATATATACCACATTTTCTTTATCCATTCATCTGTTAAAGGGCACCTAGGTTGGTTCTATAGCTTAGCTATTGTGAATTGAACTGTTATAAACATTGATGTGGCTGTGTCACTATAGTATGCTTATTTTAAGTCCTTTAGGTATATATTGAGAAGTGGGATAACTGGGTTAAATCGTGGGTCCATTCCTAGTTTTCTGAGGAATCTCCATACTGCCTTCCAGAGTAGATGCACCAATTTTCAGTCCCACCAGCAACATATCAGTGTACCTTTTCCCCCACATCCTTGCCAACATTTATTGTTACTTGTACTCTTGATGATTGCCATTCTGACTGGAGTATGATGAAATCTCAAGTGTAGTTTTAACTTGCATTTGTTTAATTTCTAGAAATGATGAACCTTTTTTCTAACATTTGTTGGCCATTCATATTTCTTCTTCCATGAAGTGTCTTTTCAATTCTTTTGCTCATTTATTGATTGGGTCATTTGTTTTGGGGGGTGTTAAGTTTAAATCCATATGTAGTAGAATGAAATTTAATCCCTATCTCTCACCCTGAACAAAACTCAAAGTGGATCAGGGGCCTAGGTATTTGACCAAAAACCCTGTATCTACTAAAAGAAAATGTAAGCCCAACATTCCAACATATCAGCTCAGGAAATGACTTCCTGAATAAGACTTCTAAAGCACAAGAAGTAAAATCAATAATCTATAAATAGAATGGCATCAAACTAAAAAACTTCTTCACAGAAAAGAAAACAATCAAAAACATGAAGAGGAAGCCTACAGAATCTTCCCAAAGAGAAAATCTTTGCCACCTGCATCTCAGATAAAGCATTAATTTCCAGCATACATAAAGAACCCAAAACACTTTATGGTTTTTAATTTGTAAAGGTAGATATAAAAATATAAATGTAAACTGTGTGAATATATAGCTGGATTTATGTCCATATCCACAAGTATTATTAACTCAATTTACTGGAAAGACATCAAGAGTGGCAAGACTGCAACATCAGTAAGTCCATTTAACACTAAGATTTTGGTTTCATTTCTTTTTTCTTTCATTTTTCTTTTTCTTTCTTCTTTTTTTTTAATGTGTATGTGTGGGTGTGTGTATGCTTGTGCACACTCAGGATTGAACCCAGAGCCTTGTGAATGCTAAGCATATTCTCAGTCATGGGGCTCCAGCTCCAGCCCCAGATCTTGGTTTCTAACACCATCTCTA